AGGCATAGATAAATTAATTTTCATAAACTTCAGTATTCCGTGGATTACTGTGAAGACTAACCTGAAATGCCTAAAGATATGAGTTTTAAAATATTTTATGGGGAAAAACCCAAAACCATTAACAAAGCAGATTTCTTCATAACAGCAAAACACCAAATTGGTGAGACCACCTACTAAGACTAAGTATATTTTACAGTATATCCCAAAAGGCAACAAAAAGCCAATCCAATGGGAAAAATTATATCTGACATTAAGAATTGCAACTTTTCAGTCAATCCTGCTATTGTTATTAAGTTCTCACATTTCATTAAATGGATTTTTAAGAAAGCAAATGCTTTTGGGATAATACAATCCAACGTTGCCACTAAACTAGCACTGAATAGCCAATTATCTAAAGGAGTAATGTCCAACCTCTGTATTTTCCATAGGCCACACTCCCTTCCTCCTCACTATTCAAGAATCGGGGAAATTTGTACTGATATTCCTTCATGCTAGAAGTGAGCTAACAGCCCAAGGAAAGCACCAAATCCCAAGATGGTTCTGCATCTTAATGACAGCACAGTGCCCAAATTAATAAATTCAGGGCTCCTGAGAAGACAATTAAATTGCATTTGAAATATGTGCTCTCTCAAGTCCCCCAGTCTTGGCCCCAAGCACAAGCTAACAAGAGATGCTGGATGCAGACTCTGTAAAACCACCTATGGATATGCGCCACTTCAAGTCTCGGGAATGGGATTGAGAATCCATTCACATTTGCGGTCCAATGTAAAGTGACCACATCAGTTGCTACTCAGCCTTCCCTGACATTTTAATAGTTGAATTACAGTTTGACTTGTCTTCATGGAGAAGGGAAGAATTATGATCCAGCTTGTTATACAAAAAATTATATATTAAGATGCCAAAAAATGAGTTTCCACAACATGCTTAGATAAAATGAGCTTCATGCCATCAGAGCACACCACTCATTTGCTGAACATCTCACCTCAAAGCATATTCTCCCTTCAAAAAGCCTAAGGGGTCTTGTTTTTCACTTGAGAATCTTCCTTTAGATTGGTTATTTCAGCATTTTTGAGCCAAGTTATCTCAAGTGAGATTGTGACCGTTTAACAATCAGTACTTCATAAAAGTCAATGCATTTGTATTTAGTACATTTCAAAAGGATTTGCAATTACAGATTATTCCATTTTTCAAGTTTTCAAGTTAAAAAAATCTGAAATCAAAAGCAGAAGAGGGGAAAAATGAGTTTGGTATAACATTGTAAAATATGACAGTATACCTTAGATCAGAAAGCTCCTCAAGGAATGCGTACTATAAAATCCTATTGGATTATGGTTAAATTAATGTAACATTTAGTTCAGATTGTCTTCTTGCCACCTATTTTAACCTTTTGTTCTAGTAAGAGTCTCCAGTTTATCGTATCTTTATGTCCAATTGAATAAAATAGATGTGGACAATAAAACAACTTAAGGTCAGGAATTTTCTTTCTAGGTAATCCATAGCCATTTGTATTTTTCTTCAGAAATAAATACAGCTAAGTATATTTGAATCACCACCAAGTTTCCCAAAATACCAATGTGCTTTATCTAACAAGCACACTGGACAGAACTACAAAGAAATTAACTCGCATCCAAAATGAATTTTTTTTTTTTTTTTTTTTTTTTTGGGGCCCCAAATCCCCCCCC